GAAAGGAGTTGGGGAAAAACTGTAAAGCGCAGACTGTTTTTGCATGTTTGCAAAGTAGATTAATGTTTCCTCGCGGGTGGGGGCTTTTAAAGTGGAACTGTTCTCGGGGGTGGGGGAGGCTGGGTTTTACGGGCTGAAAGGAGAAATGTGTTTTAAGAACGCGGGTTCGGAGGGAGGGGCCCCCGGAGCTCTCCAAGGGGTTCTGCCAGTCTTTTAACTGCATTCCTCCATTGGGGCGCGCGGGGGTGGGGGGTGGGGGGGTCTTGAAGCCTTTTTAGGCAGTCGTAAATTTAAAATAGATCCCTCTCCCTCACGGAAACATTTCACATTCTTTTGGTGATACGGAGTTTTTTGTTGGGGGGGGGGGGGTCTGTTGGTTGTCTTTTAATTCTTTTTGGAAAGTGACAGTCTTGCTCTTTGGAAACACTTTAACCCCTAAACACTGCCTTGGCTCTCTTTCAATGGGGCGGGCGGGAGGGATTGAGGTAATGATGCAGATATTTCAAACCAGAAGATGTGGAGCATTCCTAGCGAAAGCTAGCCACCAAGGACAAAATGTGGAAGCCCGAGTTCCAGGCGGACTCCCTCCCTTTCAGAATGCTGCTGAAGAACTAACCTTGGAGAATATTTCGTTAATTTTGCCTTGCTTGTGAAGATTCAGCCCTCAGTGTTTAGCAAACATATGGTGAAGCCTTTAGCTGAGAAGTGACAATTAAAATAATAGTTCAAATAATTAAGACCAGAAAACATCCTTGCCTGAAGTAGCTTGGTAATTAATACAGAAGTGTTATTTGGATTGAATCCATGGGGTAATTTGCCTCAGTGCAACACTTGACTGTCAATGGTAGATGAGAGAAGGGTTTGATTGACCACCTATGATGTTCTGGGTGTCTGTAACGTCCCTAGCGCGGTGCTAGGCACTGCCAGGGACACTGAAGCCTGTGAGACTCTCCCTGAGCACACATTCATCACGGAACACTACTGGGGTTAAATGGACTTGCACTAAATTTGAGCTCACAGTTGAAGTGGGCGTGAAAGTTAAATTTAAAAAAAGGAAAAGCTTTGATGGAGGTGGTGAGGCAAATTAAGGCGACTTGGAGAGAGAGAGGATGAAGGAGGGAGCTCTAGGCCATAACTTAGAAAAGGGGTCCGGCAAAGGCCCAAACTGAGTGGACAAATGGCATAAGCTCGCGCCCCCCCATTGGGTGCAATAGCTTAGGTGGGCCCTGGACCACAGGGCTGTAGTTTGGAAATGCGATTGGCTAGACCAGCGGTTCTCAACCTGTGGGTCGCGACCCCTTTGGCAGTT